CGTTCGCGCAGGACTCAGTACGACTCCTCCAGGGGGATGGAAGGATCAAATAAATAGGCAGGACCTACTCTCATTCGCTGCTGATGCGCAGCATCCCCCTAGCTGGCGAATCTCTGCCGTTTCTTGATGCCCTATCTACAATTATAATAAAATATTTTATTAGTAATAAAGTGTGGGTTATTGTTTCCGTGGCCTATCGCCAATAAACTATTTACAACAGTGTTTCTAAACCTTTTACTATCGTGGGCAGGTGTGAAATCGCAATGTAATAGTGTAATACATGTGCATCGAGAAACTAAAACATTCCTTTTTCAAAAAGTAATCAAAAGCAATGTCTTGTCAAAATATCTGTACATACAAAATAATCTCAAAAATAAAGTGTTATTTAAAAAGTGTCTATTAACAAAATAAAATAATAAATTTAGATTCACATAGTACTTTTCACAAAAATATAGTGATAGCAATAGCTAAATTTTGTGCATGTGGAAGACAAAGTACATTTTGTCGCTTGTGAAATAAAGTTGCCGCTCGGAATGAAAATAATCGGCAATAAAGAGAACACACATGATTTTTTTCTATAATTGTAGGTTTATCTAACGTTTTTTATTTCACTTTCTTAAGTTATTTGCATTTATGTTGAAAATTGCAAAACCATTAGTTATATAATATATGGTGTGATCAACAAAAATAATTGTCCTCTGATTGGCAGTAGACGAAATTTTTTTTCAAAAAAAATGGCAAGGAGAGGACGATTTTTATTGATCGCCCGTTTCTATACAAATATTAAGTTAACTATCGTCCTAAATAAATTGTTTTTTCTTCTGTTTTGTTCTGCCTTCACACTAGATCAGTTTCTGTTTCTCTTTTGCGTTCTTTTACAATAATTTCTCTTATTCTTTTTGTGCGTCCTTCATAATTTTTTCATTTTCATTACTGACTCTCATTAATTTGTTTATTTATTTCCAGTTCTTTGACATACATTTTTAAATATTTCCTTTCTTATTATATCAAATATTTTTGTCTCTCGTTCCTGTTTTTTGCTATATGCATTCTCGTTTTTTTCTCTTTCTCTTGCGGTTATCAAATCGTAGCCTGCTGTTCTGTGGTACCACTTCCTTTTTCTTATTTTTTTCTTCCCACCTCAGTCCTTTCACCCATTTCACTAATTACGTTTTTCTTTAACTGCCACTATTTTTCATAGGACTTTCTTCTGAAGTTGATTTTTCTGTAATTTACTTAAATTCGATTCCCACGAATTTACCTAAATTCGAATTTTACCAAATACCTACTTGGTATAGATCATTTAATGTTCCTTATACTTCCATATTTCGAATATCTTCCTATATCTATTTCTTTCAAACAACTTTTCATCCAAACTGTATCTTCTGCTCGTTTATTTAATAACTACAATTCTCAAGCGTAAGCTAAGGAAGTGATGTAATTAACAGAGTACATGTTTTCTCCACGTTTCTTAGCTCCTATAAGACGAAAAAATATATCACATGATCTTCACCAAAAGTGTGATGACAACATCTAAAAATAGTACATAATAGTACATAATAGTACATAAATTACATTTAAATTATGCAAGATGGGACAGATTCTGGAAAAATTGTAGGGATTTTCTAAGAAACAAAGGTGAAAATATTGTCTGGAAGTCGAAGTGTACAAAAAAAATTAGTTAGTTTTCGAAGGTGGTCGAAAAAAGTAAATTAAAATTTCATTAATTGAAAAAAATTAACTTGAAAAAGTTGCTTAAAAATGAACAAAAATTTTGGGATATAAATCTCGACGTGCAGATTAGAAAAACATAGCGTCTTTATTTTAGTTAGCAAGATTTTCAAAATATTCTGTTTGAAGTACAAAATTGTTAAAAATCCTAAAAATTGGGATATTTCAGTCGACGATTCTGGAAAAATAGTAAGAATTTGCCAAGGAATGAAATCGAAAATAACTTCTGGGAATTCAAATCTTCAATAAAATCTTTTTCCGTAATTTTCGAAAGTGATCAAAAAAGGTCGAAAATTTCATACCGAAAAAATGTAGCTTTTGAAAAAGTTTTTCATTGGGCGATTATGGAAAAATGGTAGGAATTTTTCAAGAAACGAAGCCAAAGATAACTTGGCAAGTCGAAATCTACAACAAAATCTTTCTATAATTTTCAAATCTGGTCGAAAAGAGTCAAAAATTTCATAAGAGGGGGGTATTTAAACAATTTAGCTTTCAAAAAGTTGCCTAAAAATCCACAAAAAAATCTGGATATAGATCTAGGTGCTCATTCGAAAAGTATAGCCTGTTTATCGTGCTGGAAGAAGCTTTTTGAAGGACAAAATTGCGATACTTATTTCACTTAGCTATTTCTAGAAAAATAGTAAGAATTTTCCAAGGAATGAAGTCGAAACTAGCTTCTGGAGATTGAAAACTACATATACAAGTATAATAAAATCTCTTTAGGTATTTTTCGAAAGTGATTCGAAATGGTATTGAAAAAATTTTGCTTCTCAAAAAGTTGCCTAAAAACACCTAACCTAACCCCCTTGGATTATAGATCTTGACGTGCTGTGTTTCTCTGTGGAGCAAGTTTTCCGAAATATTCGGTTTAAAGTACAAAATTTTTAAATCCTAAAATTTCCTTATTTCGCTGGGCGATTCTGGAAAAATGGTAGGAATTTTCCAATACCCAAAACCGAAAATAACTTCCAGAAATCAAAATCTACAAAAAATATATTCGGGTAAGTTTCGATGGAGGTCGAAAAAAGTTAAAAATTTCATAATGATATTGAAAAATTGAACTTTTTCGAAAAAGGTGTGTAAAATCCACAAAAATACTGGGATATAGATCTCAACGAACTAAATCGAAAAACGCAGTTTGTTAATGATCATAAGTGGTTTCGAAATATTCAGGTTTGAATTAAAATTTTCAAAATTTCTTAAAAACCAAAAAATCCATTGCGTCAAAAGTTTACAGGCACCTTGAAGTTATCCCGAACATAACAAATCACCAGTCAGAATTCATGCGTCCTGTGCAAAAAGTTAATGGCGTCACCTGATTAAATAATATATTCATGTCTCATATTTTTTTTTTGTTTTGACAATATATTGCTACTGATTTAGTGTTTACAGAATAACGGTTAAAAATTGTTTATTCATCTCTTCCAGAAGGTTACTGACGTCTCCGTAACAATAAGGACTACACAAAGTACTAATTTTCATTTCAATAGACATAAAAGGTCTTATCATGAAAAAAATAAAATTAGTGTAAGAAGTTGGAATTATCTGATTGTTTCAATGGCGAAGAACGTTCAGTTTAAATAAATTCAGACTAATTTTTTACTAGGTTTTAAAACCGTACTGTATTTTTGAACTTCGGATGCGATGTTGCCACGTTATTCCAATTTTCTTAAAATTTGTAGCAAAGAAAAGTCCTCACAAAATCGTAATATTATTATTTTAAAAATATATATTACAACATTTTGTGAAGAGATAAACAAGGTGCGCACTTAGTTGTGGTGTAAATTAAATTGGGGCTTGATATACAGAGTGTGTAGAAAAAATCTAAAATACTACACTTTTCAAATATCGATATTTTAAATTTTTTAAATAGGACAGCCTGTATTTTATCATCTTACTCTGTTTTTTGTTCTTTCTCTTTTGTTAAGTATTCTCTTTATAGATATAAGAACGTTGGTAGTTTCTGCAATTTTTCATTTCTTTAAGAAGCGTACCGACATAAGAAAGAGAACAAAAAATTAAATAAGAATAAACCTGAAATATCAATATTTAAAAATTGTAATGTTTATAATAATTTGCCTCTGTTTGCCTCTTTTTGCACTTCTTGTGTTCACAAATCTAACAACTCTTAATGGGTCCAGTTACAATGGATGCTTTTTTAAATTTCTGCTCTAGTTGGTCATGATGCTTACGTCAGTCGCTTTAGTTTCACTGCTAACATACGCATGATGGCTAACTAGAGCAGATATTTAAAAATCAGGCGGTAGAAATATCCACGACTTAGGTTTCGTTGTAAAAATTGTGTAGCGAATGTGTTAAGCTTTTAGAATACCGTAGTCAGTCAAACATTCTTATGCTCTCTAAAACCGAGCAAAAAAGATTACAACAAAAAAAACATTAAAATCCTCTGATTAATGTACTGAATGTTACTTGATAAATAATTCCAACAAACACAACAGTTTTATGGGAATCTATTTTTATTTTCAAAGTTCAGAAGAATATAAATCAAAAGGTGCAAGCAAGAAACCAGAAAAACCACAATAAATTAGCACAGAACTAGGATTTCTCGACAATAATAAAAAAGAAAATTCAGAGATGACACAATGCACTAACTATCGCAAAAAAATCATAGGTATTAGATCCTGAATTTAGATATTTAATTTATTATTATGCGAGTTTATGTTACAAAATACATGATCAGAATTTGAATACATTAATTTAAACTTCAACGTGTTAGAAAATAAATAATTGAAAGAAAATATTAGCTAAAACCACATATTAATTATTCAATTTGTTTATTATTCAATGATTCTGATTAAACTAAGTGGAATCCAGTTTTCTAAGTGAAACATTTATTGATGATTTCATGACGTTTAACACCGAAATGAATAAAAAAAACTGCAAAGTAGAGTCAAATTTTTCTTTAAATAATTGTCAATTTTATTCACACTATTAGAATAGCAATAATTCAATTCAGTAGTAATCTTAATTATTGTGATTTATTTGTATTTTGTGATTTCCATGGCCCTAAAAAGGAGGAACTGCAGAGTCAAAATCTCGTTTTTGTTAACTGTGTAAATTCTTATCTCTACAGGTTATTTTTACATTCTGCACACTTTACTTTCATGTTCATAATTTTTTACAAAAACTTATATCGCGAACACTTTTTTAATGTAAATCATCCGATTTTATTACACGCTTGTCTAATTTCTCATTATTTACTGTTTCAAAGCTGGCTGCGGCAGCCATTTCAGAAGGCTTCTGTCAAATTTGTCATCCTTCCAGACGAGTTGCAATTACAGTAATCGCCGCATACAAATAACACATTAAAATAATTTTCCAGTAATTATTCTCTTCAAACTTGCGGTAATTATAGTATATGAGGAATTTCACACTGAGTAAGTTAATAATGTACATTTTTCATTTAACGCGATCCACCTTAAAACTCTTAAAAACTGCAAGTTTAACATCTAAATGTGAAAATAATGTGGCGTCCAGACTTTCCGTTACTTTTACCATTATAATCTCATTATCGTAATCAAAAATTTCAATTTTCGGTTTAAAACGATGATCAGAAATAATGATGGAATACCGGTTTTTGGTAAAGAACGTGATAATTTTAACATGAATACATATTTTTTTGTTATTCATTTTTATTTGTAAAGTTGTCAGTATGATTTTATTTATGGTTAAGTCTGACCTAATATTTATTATTTCAGACTGTATTTTTGTAAAAAACTATTACCTTATTTTAGGTAAATAAAAATGTGGTTCAATATCATTCCTGGATTTATGATAATCGCCGTCGCTTTGTCGCTACCTTCTTATATTTCCTGGCCTTGCAATTGGTTATTAACAGGTCACTGGTACAGAAGATCTATGCTAGATACAGATGAGGTTCAGCACTATTTGCGCGACTTACGTCTTGAAGATCCATACGTGGTTAAAGGTTTAGAAAATATTCCAGATGAAGAGGAAGATGAAAAGGCAGATAAAAAAAAATCTTGAATGAGGAATAGGTATATATTTAAACGAATACGTTTATTATATTCTGTCTGCCAATAATTTGTTGTTTTGAAAGGTTAAAAATAAAAAAGTTTCTAAATTAGATCTACACATTATGTAAAATACATATCTATTTACAGTGAAACTCTAGAACTAGTTTTAACAATAAAAACACGATCAAAGACAGCCACGGATTTTTGAAAGTTTGTCTTTGCTCGTTACATTTTCAACTCAAACTTTTAAATTGATGGTAATCTCACAATACGAAAATTTTATCAAAGGCAAATCTTGAAACATCTATGGCTGTGTTTGATCGGGTTTTTTACTGCTTTCGCGGTGTTACAAACACTGTGTTTTTCCTTTAATGGAAAGGATTAATAGCCCTGAAGCGTACATATATACAGTTTAGACCTTTGAGTTGTCTTTAGCAGTGTTCCAAGTGAGTACCTCCATGAAAAATATGCAAAGTGACAACTACTAATAACAGGGTGTTCATTTTCATTCGTCTAATATAATTTTAGTTACTTTGTTGATTATCCAGTTCTGAAAGATTAATAATAAACGAAGCATTTAGAATTATGTTGTAAGATGACAAAATAATAGACAAATTGATGCTCCACATCTTCTAACGGCGTTCTACATAAACACAGTCGTGAAGAATACAAAAAAAGTCACAGTTGACGAAAAACTCGTCCTCTTTTCTTTGTGCGGTATATTTTTTGTGTGATCATCTATTTCTGAAAGACTAATAATAAATGAGGCATTCAGAACGAATTTACTTGATGTCTAAAACAATAGACGAGTTTAAAGTTCTACATCTTCTACTGTTTAAAATGAGTAAAATCGTGAAGAAGTAGTCCCAATCAGCAAAACAATTTCATCTTTTCGTCGTCCAATATATTTTTATTAAGTGTGATGATCACCTAGTTCTGAAAGATTAATAATAAATGAGGCGTTCAGAATGAGGTCTCGAAATAATCTTTAGGTGAGCAGACAAGTGTCAGAGGATTTTCCCTTTGCTCTTCTACTTGTTTATAAATAGCGGGTCTCATAATATAACATATTGCTCCCGGTTGAAACATCAATTACATATCTATTTATAAGCAGTACAAGTGATTCACAGGTCTTTATGATGTCCTCAACAACAAACAAAAACAACGTGACGTTTAAATTGGGTTCGTTAGGCATTAGCAAAGCAAATCGTAGGTAATTTTGAACAATGTAAGGGGGTCAATGTATAACTCGACTCATTGTACAATCGCTTGAGTGATTTTAGCACGGTATCGCAACCCCGGGAAATAAATCAAACCAATCACCATTTCCATAGATTTTGTTCTTGTTGCATATGTCCATTTATGTAAATGATACACAGCATCGTAACTAAGACGTGCTGCAATTGCTCCTGGATTTCGAAATGATTTATACGTTTGCAGATAATAAAAAAAGTCTTTTGATATATGATTCTGCGTTGGTTGGAACGACGAAAGGTAAAAAATAAACGGTAATTATTCGCTTGACCAAGAATTAATTAGATGGGCATTTCGATCTACTGGAACTTATGCGTGCTGAAAAGCGTTATTTATTTATTTATTCATAGGTCATAGCGCAGTGACACCGCACAGGAAACATTTTTAATACAATGTAAGGAAATGGGGGTAACCTTTCCATAAAAAATCGCCTCAATAGCAGAGGCAGTTATTATTGACTTAATTTATTGCTTCAACTATTGTGGATCGTAATTACCCCGTAGACCACTTTGGTCTTGTCCTGAAGGCTGATGCAAATTTTCAACTTTAAGACCCCTGTGACACGACTCTAAATTTCTAATAAAATTTAAGGTAGGTCAACGATATCGCGAAAATGGAAAAAGTGCCTTCAAAATTCTTTGTTTTAACTTTCCAATCGGAAGATTTTTCCGTTTTCGTGATATAGGTTACACTCGCCCTAAATTTAGTTTTAAGTCGGACATTTTGTCAAACAGGTTTAATTTGCCCAAAAATAAAAGCAAAATAAAGAAGTTTTTTATTAGTAAGACACTGATGATAATAATAACAATAATAATAATGATGATAATTATATCAATAATTAATTGATAACCTAGTCTTACAATGTTTCCCACATTTAGTTTTGTTTAAATAGAAGCCATAAAGAGTTTGAAAGATGGCTTGGAAATTGGATGCTATACATTTTTCACAAGAGCTGGAAGTTACAAATTCGGCCAAGTAAAGGCAGAATGGTGGCATGTATTAAGGGGACAAATTTTGAGATTCTGCAGTATACTGTGGTGAACAATTTTGACGCTTAAAGATTCCCGAAAATTGTATGTAATATATATCTCTGCATTCTCTGCATTACAATGGTTCAGGCTAGTATATAGCATATATATCACAAGTCCAAATAAATATACCAAAAACTTAAATTCTTAATTTAAATAGACTCTGAAATCAACATACCTACAAAATAATTCTACCTTTACTATTGTCGTTTATATAACGATTAATTCTTCATATCAACTTTATGAAATAAAAAAATGTTCTCCAACTCATAACATGAAAAAAAAAGAAAAAAGTATAAAGGCTATTTCAACAGAACTTCTCTCGCCCCTGAAATACAGTCGAACACACAGCTGCGAAAAATTATGAGATTTGATTTACTTTGTTTGTCCCCCGTGTTGATTTTTATTAGATAGATCATCATATGTTAGGAATATTGTGCCGATGGTAGAACGCTAATCTAAATTTGTCTAGTCATCTTCACCAACAATTTGATAACGCCCCCTCAAAATATTTAGTAGTAAATACTTGTGGTTTATAAATCCGCCTTGATCTTTCATCCTAGGCATCCAGATTTTAGGGAAAAATATACAAATTACATTATCACATTTTATACTAAGCACTGACGTGTGCCGTGCCATAACAATGTTGAATTATTAACGGGAAGGTCGCTGGTTCGTTTGACCCATGGGTCACAATTTTTTTACACTGTTTTAGATCTACATTTTTACTTCCCGAGCGTAAGCGAAGAAAATATTGCAGTAGGATTCATCGGGCGACAGGCTACTTTCATATCTGTCATCGGTGTCGATTTTTATTAAATAGACTATTTTCGAAACCACCAAACCGATTAACAAAATTTGTCTAGTCATCCCCACGAATATTTGATGACGCAATCTCAACATTTTGCGGTATAAATTTTATAAAATAACAACCTTTTGTACTTGTGGTTTATGATTTTGTCTTAATTTTGTTAATTATTATTATTATATTTATTATTCAATATTTTTCGTAGTAATGTTATTCTTTAAATACATAATACCTAGCATACGAAACATCGCTATGGCTCAGAGGCAAACGCATAATTTTGCATCTGGAAGCTCCGGGCTCAGTCTCATAATTTCATAGCGTCATAACCAGGAGTAACGATATTTTTGAAATATATTTTGATGTGTGTACTGTTTTTGTTAGTATCACACTCCACCTATCCAAATTAATATACATGTCCTTGATGGAAGAGGAAAGGATAATGACGTTATCATAAAAATTTTTAATCAAAAAAGCCACCTGAAATATGAAGTCTACTTATCTTTACTTTAGTACAAATATATTTTTATTTTAACTTACAAGGGTTATCATAAAAAACAAAATTCCCAAAATCAAATTTTATAAATTTTCGAAAAAGTTGGATAAATTGTACTTCAGGAGCGAGGGAAGTTTTGTCGAAATAACCTTCTAACACTTTTTTTATTATTAGTATAGCACGTGTACGGCACGCGTTGGAATTGTCATACGTGTCCTTACTGAAATGTTGATCGGAACATTTTTCAATAACAAAAGACACTAGAAACAGGCCAGCCTTGCGTTTTATCAATGCATTCCAACTTTTGAAGCAATTAACAAAGTGTTTTTCGTAACAATGCGTTCGAATCAAAGGCAGTGGCGGAGTGTGGGTGATTAAAGTATGATACATTAATGAAAATAAAATTTTATAATTTTTCAAAGAAGTGTGAGTTGTTGGACTGTACTTCAGGGACGAGGGAAATGCCATTTTTTTATGTTATTTGTGGATAATACCTTTACCTAGTACGCTCAAATCAAATAATTTACACAATTTTAAAAACAGTTAGTTAAAAAAAGTACTTCCGCACTGCATATTTTACATAAGTATGGAGCTAGAACAATTGTTTGCTTTTTTTATTATTATGTATGTATATACTTTTACGTAAATACTCACATCTACACCGTGTAACTATTAAATATTAGATGCTAGAATGTATAAAATTACTATAAAGATAATGAATTCAAATTTTTTTATTAATACACTGTTCCTTAAAAAAAATCAGTTTACGGGCTAACTCCAACATTCATAAAAAAAAAAACACTATGATGGACTGTGACGCACGAATGGTCAGATATCTAGAAGTACCCCAGCCCAAAATGACACTTACATTAAGGTTAACTAAAACAGATTTCATTGAAAAAGCTATTAGTACCATTACCATAAAAATCACAATAACTGTATGCAAAGAAGGTGCCAATAATTTCTTTACATGGACAAATATTTCATTAACATACTTACATTACGCCCACATCTTTAAAACGATCACCAGATGCAATTTGCCGACAAGTTAGCTCATATTCTGTTTCTGACGAACGAAACAGTAGATGGAAAATGTGCACTCCGACTTATGACATCCGAAAAAAGCTGTAAAGCAAATGTTGACGAGTTCTCGCCTTAACGTAAGTACCTAGCGATGTAAATTGAATAACACAACTTGTTTAATAATGTGTTAATTACCCCTACAATGTTTTAAATTTTGTTCTTGTAATTAATACAATGCTATTGTTGAAAATTTTCTACCCATTTTTAAATACCCAGTTTTTTACATCTCTTTTTTTTTTGTTAAAAGTACAAGTGAATCTTGAGAACTTTCTTCAAAGAAGAACGCCCTCCATGCGAAAAACTTGCAAAACAAAAGTCAACAGTTACTGATATACGAGTCGATAAGTCAACAAAAAAAAATGGTCGAAGGCTATTTAGACGGAATTTAACCCAATTTTTGGGAAAAAAA